CCCCCCCCCTCCCCGCGTACTTTCCCCGTACTTTTCTCATCTTGCTCAAGATGAAACGCTGAAGCATTCAAAAATGTCCCAAGCAAATTGCCGCTTAGCAGGCAGTTTATGATATGGCTAACGTGAAAAAAAAGCATACTTTTTTCTAGCAAAACAATTACCGAAATTAAATCGGAAAATGTTAAAAAGTACAAAAAAGTTACCTGTAAAATTTTCGTTTTAGAATAAATTATGATAAAAATAAAAAACAAATCATGTGCTGTGTGTATGTTTGTTTGTCTGTCCGTCTGTATCCATGATATAGTAAAAAAAAAGCGCATCAACCGCGACAGTAAAGTTCTAGAGAGAAAAAAAAAAACGAAGAATTGCATAAAAATTACTGTCACTTATGGTAAAAAATGCGGAATTTTGCAAAGCCGATGAATATGGCAAAATATACGGAATTTTCGGGATTGCCCAAGTCTATTTTTTTCTGGGGAAAAATGGAAATTTTGCAGGAACAGATCTGTTGTTCCGTTAAAAAAAAAACAACTGTACAACTTTACAAAATAATGAGATCATACAAACTATTTATGACTTTTGTGAAAGAAGAAAACATCAGCAACAGCTGCTCCAGCTCTCATTCCCAATGAAACTAGTTGGCCGATGTAATAACGACGAATAAATAGCTGGCTTTTTGTTGCCTAAAGATATCCAACAAATCGGGGCTATTCTTTTGCAGGAATCTACAGGCAAAATCGCATGGCGGAAAAATGTGCACGATGGTGTTCGGCGTCGGATTTTGCTGAAATCTTGTTATATTACTGTAGAAACCAGAACATATCTGCTTTGTTTTGCCAAAAGGCATAGCAAAGGCAAAAACAATGCTACTTTCGGGCTGAAACGTGCGAAAGTTCCATTATACTGATGAGACAACCAATTCATCTACGATTCATTCATTCGTTTCGATGGTAAATTGGTAATGGCAGGCGCCAGAAAATCATACGCATAACCAGCTGTTTGCTCACACAATCCTTGAAGTAAGAGGAAGCAAAAATGCATAGCTTTGTCAGCCGACGACTGCTGCTGGCGCGTATTACAGTCCAGCTAATTTTTACTGCCCCCTTCTCTCATGCAGAGAGTAAGCACGCAAAAGATTTCGATTTTTCACTTAGAAAATCAAGATTG